TCAGTCAAAAAGTCATCTTTGCAGTCAACACGAACGCGAAAAATTAATCTTGACTTAACGCAGCTGGCGATTTTTTCGGGCACGCGATGAAAATGAGGTTAAATGAAGGATTAAATTTAATTACAAACTTTTTTTTTTGACTGCGTTTCAACTCATTTAATGATACATTAGCTACTACAAGTTCATTTGGAAACCAAACAAAACGAAATGTTGGCAACCAAAACGATTTGAGAGAGAGAGAAAGGAGAGGATAATAAAGTTATTGTTAGGCTTGATTTGCTTTAAAATACTTCACTTAAAAAAAAACTTCCCAACCGGTAAAACGAAATATATTTATGAAAAATGGCAACGAAGGTAGGGATGAAATCGGGGACTCACGACACTGTTACCGTTGGCAGAGTTAGGAAAATCCGGACCACGCTAGGAGCCAATCAGATGGCAGGATTTGTTACTGTGCCCTCTTTACTTCAACTTTACTTTATTCTCGAGTTTGAAAAAAAAAAAGGTTTGAGTACATGGCCTTGGTGATAAAGTTCTTAAATATTCAGCGCTTTTGATCGTAGATTCACTTTTTCTTTTACAGATTTGTGGTCTTCGCTTCGTGTTCCTGATAAACCAAGATCTTCCCGGAGCCACAAAGGAAGTTAAACAACCGACACCAGCCCAGCAAGGAAAGGTGGCGTAAACTTACGTTGAAAGTGCTTCAGGACACCAGCGATGACCTGGAGCTTCATACTCGTCGAAAGTTGCTTTCAAAACACAACTTACATTTATCTGTCATATCACCAGATGTAGAAAACACCAGAAAAAATTTATATTCAACAACAATATCCGTCGGGGAGTCTTTCATCGTCGTCGATACATAGGAACGTTTCGTGTAAGAGACGAGAGGGTAACACGAACATTCCCGAACTAGCTAGAGGTTCGGCGCGCATCGCACACACAAGTGTGACGTGGGGAGAAATATATCACTTCTTAATTTAATCGAGATTGTAAATTTGTAAAATGTTTTATTTGAGGTAAACTCGACATTTTATGATACAGACATTCGATTGTATATAAGGGTAGAGAAATAAGGAATGGGATAATAAAATTTCACCGAGCTCTCGTTCGTTTTTTAATGTTTTCTTAACTACGTGTTGTTTTAGATGTTTCTTTTAACCTTTGGCAGAGTAAACCTTGAGCCACTTTTTAAAAATAATTTTGACCAATGAATAAAACCAAATTTTTGGATTCCTGAAATTCTATATGAGTTAAAAAGCTAACTGCTGAGGATTTTTCCTTTCATAGGAATGAAGGGGGCTTCGGCGAAGAAACTTGCTATTTGTTGCTATTTGGCGACCTCAGATCATGAGATTGTCGCTAGAAACATTATTCGTTAAGGGAAAGAAAAAAAAAATTTTGATCTGTAGGATATTTTATCAAGCACTAAAATGCTGACCACACCTGATGTTTCTGTAAGAAACATTTTGGTTTGCTGTCGCTGCCAGTAGTGTTGGTTTTTGGAGGTTCATGCTTCATCTCAAGGCAGACAACAAATAATTCTCCTTTCTCTCCTGAGAATAAACCTCCTATAGCCTCAGTGATCTCGTTCTTGTTGAGTTGCTTTAGTCTATGGAAGTTTCGCCCAATTGCAAATTTGCCCCCATCAAAATGAATTCGCGAATTTGTCTTGTAAGACGTTTTGTCAAGAAACGAGGTGAAAGATTGGGGGCGACTTGAGATAGAAGGAGGCGAATTAGTTATATTAGATGAGGCGAACTTGTTGAGGTTGGGGCGAACCAGTAGGGGGAGAATTTGAAGTGCATAAAGTAGTAGTGTGAGGGTAAGCAATGTTTGTATTTCTGTGGTGTTTCCCGCGCCTTCCACTCAGAAAGACTGGAACGAGACTGACATTTTTTTTTCAAACATGTATGCTATCTGTCAATCACTCCTAATAAGGAAGTGCGAGAATTCGAACTCGATACCAACATTCCATTACGCTATCGTGTCACGCTTATGGAAGCGTTTCTCGTTTCCTAGCAGCTTCTGATATTGCTTTCCTTGGTTTATGATCATAATCATTTATAAATATTGGATGGGTCTTCAGGACGTTTTAATTGGAAGAAGTCTTGTGGTTTGTTTGTACGCTCTTGGCAGTTAAGGATCACATAAACATCGCTTGTGATTTGCTCGTCGTAAGGTCAACATTTCGAATAATTTTCCTAATTAGGATTCTCTTTAACTGCACGAAGCTTTCTATCTGTACTGACAGGAAAGGATACGCTAAGGAGGATGAAATGGGAAAGGAAATTTCATTGGCGTTAAACATAACCATATATCCATGATATGATGGACTGGAGCGACGACTGTGCTCTCACACAGTAATTAGTAAGGCGCGAGATACAAAACTGTTTACAGTTCGCGGTTCAAAAGTTTGATCAGGATTTTCTTTTACATCGACTTGGACACACAATTATGTCTTATATTCCTCCACCAACACCGACCTTCGAAAAAGACAGGATAAGAGCGTTGAAAAATGAACGAATCAACTCTCAAAAGAAAACTTTCACTAAGTGGGTTAATTCCTTTCTTGACAAGGTGAGTTTATCTCGATGTGATCTTGACATGTGCAAAGCCTCCACCGGAATATTTGAATACCAATCTTGTTGATAGTAACTTTACCTCTTCTATTTAGGAATTAATTTTACATGTTGAGCGTGCCGAAGGGAATTTTTTTTTGTCGCAAGAGGTCTTCTTTAAAGCTGTATTTTGATCTAGCTTTAAAGAACTTTCTAGTATAAACAAGCTGAACTTTTTAAACATGGCATAGGTGTTCTCTGACAAGTTTGCCTTGACTTGTTTTCACTTGCGAAGTTACAAGGCACTAAGTATAAAAGGATGTGGGTAGCTTTAGACTTCTCCTCATCTAAGTCTGTCATTTCTTGGGCAAAATGTTTCTTACCCTCCCAAAAATAGTAGGTATCAGTTGGCATCCTTGGAAAAATTAAACCCAAAAAGTTTATTTTATTTTCAGCACCTTTGCAAAAGATACTTGAGGGGCTACATTTCATGTATTTCTTTTCAGATAAAATCCCTCTTTAACCCTCTTCAAGACCATTAGATTATGTTATATCAACCTCAACTTGCATATTTAAACAAAATGTTTAAATTTAGATTTTCAACAGCCATAATCATTCAGAAAAAAGCATACCCTCCTTTGGAGCACATACCTGTCAAAGCTAAGGGAGGTTGGGACCCCCTCCCTTGGGGTTTTGCCATTTGAACCTTTACACACTAACACCAATGCATAAATTCTCAATACTGTTCCCCATACATTTTCTATGTTATTGACAGAGAGAATTTTCTTTACAATCAAGAGCTTCTTTAGTTAAGGATCATTTCTTATATTCTCTTGACCTCAACATTTGATTCATTGTTGTGTAAAGAGAAATTACATGTATTTACTGCACAAGATGCTCTTTGGGCTTGAATGGTTAAAGCCACATCCAAATGTATCTGTTTTCATTTGAAAATGCAGCTGTTTTCTATGGATATGGCTTCTGTCCACAAGTATCCAATAAAAATGATTACTGATAATGGAACTTTTAAAAAACTCTCTCTGGAGTGGAACTTTTTGAAAATGCTGCTTTCATGTGTACGTCAAACTATCGGTTCAAATCCAGTCCATGCAAATAATATTGAATATGTATGTGTCAAGTATGGAAAGTTGGGTTATTGTTTAAAAGTTATCATTTTCAAATCGATTCCTTGTGTACATGTGGACGGTGAAAACAATGCATTTGACGTGAATCTTGATTTGTTCCAGCACAACAGCCATGTAGATGACCTATTCACTGACCTATCTGATGGCAGATTATTAATTTCTCTTCTTGAGATTATTTCTGGTGAAAAACTGGGAAAAATTGGTAAGACAGCTAATTTTTAATACATAATTTTCTGGAGTTTACTTCTCAATACAATGTGTAAACATAATCATTAAGTGGGTTAAGTGGCTAAGATCAAACTCTCTGAACTGATAAACAAAGTACATGTAATGTTGTCAATAGTGGTGACTGATATTTTGACAACCTGAGCAGAAGGTATCATCAGATTCAAGTGACTAGTTGTTGTCAGTCAAATGTTCTAAGAACAAATTTAAACAAGTTTATACAAATTTAAACAAGTTAATATAAACAAGACTTAGAGAACTTTTGACAGACATAACTATTTGCTTAACTCTGATTATGCCTTCTGCTCAGATTGTCATCATTACCGACAACAGTCCTTCTCAGGATTACACTACACTATCACATGTTATACCCAGGTTCAGACCATTTACTGTATTACATGTAATGTCTGTAAAATTGAGGGGAGAATTTCTAACTAAATCGTTGAAGTTTGAGGGTCAAGGTCTTAGTTGGAAATTATAATTAGTTCATTTGCTACTGTTCATTACAACTTACCACTGAATACTTTGTCCTTGCAGCTCGTGGAAAGCTTAGGGTGCATAAGATTGAAAATGTGAACAAAGCCCTTGAATTTCTACAGCGCTCTGTAAGTCTGATTCCACAGAACTTCATCTCCTGTTTGATAACATTATGGATATTATATGTGATATTTTCTTTATATTTATGCTGTAAATGCAGGTGAAGCTTGAGAGCATTGGAGCTGAAGATATAGTGGATGGCAATGAACGTTTAATCCTAGCTGTGATTTGGATGATTATTCTGCGATTCCAAATTGCAGATATTTCCTATCAGGTATAATGATATATTTAAATATTCACAAAACAATAGAACCCTCCCTCATTTCTGTACTGCATGCAGTAAGAGTTTTTTATAGATCTTCACATACAAAGATAAAAGATTATTGTCATGTGTACATCAAAATAAAATTCACTGTGTATTTTTGAAATTTTGAGCAGTTAAGTTGTTTCCTAAATGGAGGTAACTCTTGACACCCAAACACCAGTATCAATTATCTCTATAGTTTTTCCATACTTGTACATCCCTTTGGTACTAACAAGGATAATTTGTTTAACAGTGAAAGTTTCTTAGGGTTGGCGATCATTTTGCTTTTTCTAGTGATCTTAATAAATGAATCAGCCACATAAACATAAGGAGAAATACATGCTGGTCACTCTCTGGGTTTAAAGGATTAAAAGTGGGTATTTAGACCCAGAAAAAGTGTTCCTTCAAAAGAATGCAAATAATTTCTGAACATCTACCCTAGACCAAAGTTTGCGTTCCCCTGATTAGAGATTTCCCACCATACTTTTCATCACACAGTCGGGCTTATTTCACAAAACAAGTGACTTTACCTTTTTAGGATGAAATGTCTCAGGAGAAAAAGTCTGCCAAAGAGGCCCTCCTGCTTTGGTGTCAGAGAATGACAAGAGGGTAAGATCATATTTGACTTAAATAATCTACAGAACTTCTTAGACACTTGTAAGTAAATGTTATAAACACTGTTACACTGCAACTGGAACATATTTTACCACCAGCCAAATGTTTTGTACAATCTTAACTCCATAATAAAGAAAATTGTTTTATTGTTATTATTGTTATCTCAAAGGTATCCTGGAGTTGACATCCAAAATTTTACCACAAGCTGGAGAAATGGTTTGGCTTTTAATGCTCTCATTCATAAACACAGGTAATTTTATCCTGATATCGCTTCAAATGATATTTATATCAACATTTATTTTCATGTGATTGTACAACAGTTACTTCTAACCCTACCATTCCCAGATCTCAAATTGGTTACAAATTGAGCTGGAGCTTTCTGTCCTACATAGAAATCAGGAGTAAATAATATTAAGTGTTTTAGTAAAAATCCACTCATTGTCAACTGTTCAAAACTTAACAGTGAGACAGACTCATGTTCCAGTATTACTTTGTTTATGGGGACAATCTGTTAGGCCACTCCTCCTACTCACAGCAAATCAGATTACAAAATTTTTGTCAATGCTAGTTGATTAATACTCCCACATATAACAATAAACTTTATTAACCTGTAATAAACTTTTGAAGTTGAGTGTATTACTGTGTTCGGTGTTAAAATTTCAACCTAAATATTTTGTACGAATTTTTTCTCCCTTTTTCCAGACCTGATATAATAAACTATGGTACCCTACGCCCCAGCCAGCATGAGGCAAACTTGAACAATGCTTTCAACGTTGCAGAGGAGAGATTAGGAATTGCTAAACTATTGGATGCAGAAGGTTGTTACCATTATTTTTTTTCTTCGTGATTACTGTGTGCATTTGAGATTCAAGTCTTTCTCAGTCACTTAATTAGTTCGTTTGCCTTTTCCAATAATTTCTCTTTAGATGTGGACTGCCCAAGGCCAGATGAGAAGTCCATCATGACATATGTGTCAATGTATTATCAATATTTTGCCAAAATGAAGACAGAAGAAACAGGAGGAAGACGTATTGCAAAGGTGCAAGACATTTAAGGATTTTATGATTCTTATTAAAAGTATTCCATATCACAGTTACAGCATCTCTTGTGCATGAGTTCTCTTTTTGAAGCAGCAGTGAAGCTTTAAACCATTGACAAGGGATATAGTAAGAGGAGAGAAAATAAACCATTGGAGACTTGGAACGGAATGGGAACAAGTTCTACTTCTAGTTAACCAGCTCTCAGTTGTCTTGTTTAAGTGGGTAGAAATCTGTTACTTTGGACCTTTCTGAACTGGCAGACAAAACTAGAATTGTCCCAACAAAATCAAAGGACAAATTTTGTTATGACAAATTCTTGTTTTGTCTGTTGCATCAGCATGAAAAATTTCTAAGCCACAGCAATTAGCACTGCCTTTAGTGCCAGAGCCCCAGTTAATCTTTCCCCAACTCATCTCAAATCTTCCTCTGGGCAGAGAAACTCACATCCTGCAGCCATGTTAAAGAGGGCCTGCTGCTTAATTCTAGAATGTACAGTGCACATGCTTACCTGTGCATCTAGGCGAACCTTAGTGACACGCTGTAGTCTCTTTTCAATCACTCACTCAGCTAAATATTGACATGATAGACTTTTTTTGTTCAAAATGAAAATCTCTGGATTTGATCATTCTGACTACAGATCCTTGGGATTTTAATGGAGGTGGAACAGATGGAGAAGATGTATGAACAGATGGTATCAGACTTGTTAAACTGGCTCAACACTAAGATTGTAGAGCTTGGTAGGCCATTCCAGAAGTCTATGGTAGCAGTTCAGAGGGAGATGGCATTATTTAAGCATTTCAGAACAGTTGAAAAGCCACCAAAGTAAGTTGACTTGCATGAACTAATTTTAAATTGTTCAAAGCTGATGTAGCCCTTTAACCCCTAAGAGCGACCAGCCTTTAACTTCTCCTTTAAGTATCACCAGTGAATCAATCATAAAGGTCATGAGAATAAAGATTTTGATCACCAACAAAACAAGCTCATGATTATTAAACAAATTCTCCTTGTTAGCACTATAAGAAATTTATAGAGAACAATATGGAGAGTATGCATACTGATGTCAGGGGGTGGAATATTGTCAATTTATGGGTATATTAGTCTTTTTATAGCCATTTTTTAGATTGTGTTGCATTATGAGCTTTTTGAGACCTAGCAATGATTGTGAAGGTTAGGTTGCCATAATACACCTTTAAAGTATTGGAAAAACAGGTCAAATTTTTAATTATGACAATTGTAGTATTCTGTCACAATTTTGAATTTCACTTAGTAGATGGCTGCATTGGCAAAAATTCCAAAATAATTTAAGATATTTGTTCCGTAACTGTTTCATTCTGACATAGTAACAGACTTTCCTTGATTTGTTTGAGCTTATAGGAAGAACAGCTGATTCATTTAATTGCCTTTTATAACTGCTGGTCTTCTGATCGCTTTTTTTTTCTAAGCCGTTATCATTTTTCTTCCCAATATCAGATACTCAGAACGAGTGAATATCGAAGCCCACCTCTTCAGCTTACAAACGAAACGAAAGGGTAACAATCAACAACTTTACATACCCCCTGAGGGTAAATTAGTGATGGACATTAACAGGGCGTGGCAGGTTATGGAGAGTGCTGAACATGACAGAGAAATGGCGCTACGCCAGGAATTGATAAGGTATTGTATTTACTCGAGAGAGTGTCTCCCTTCTTCGGAGATGCCTTGCATTTTGGAGTCATGTGCACTGCTGATAATTACCATCGTCGAATATACGCCTTAAGATTTCGTGTATGAATGCTCCCAGGAGCGAGCTTAAGACAACCTACTTGTTGGTGGGGCTATATACAAGGTTCTTATGTGACACGTGTCCAGCATATACTGGGGAAAGGAAGCAAAGTGCGGGAAATCGCGGCGACCAAGTCGTGATTGGTGTTGGCGTTGTATCTGATTGGTTGAGAGAGTGACGCGAGTTTTCTGAACCAATCACAGAGCGAAGTAAAGCAAAACCAATGAAATCCCGCATTATTTATAAAACTCATTGAAAATTTCTCTATCGAATACCAATTACGTATGACAACTAACTTTTCTTTGGGGGGAACGAAAAGTGTCATTTTAAGAAGGTAAGCACAAGGCTAGAGGTAGAAACTCCATTATGACCTATCTACAACACCGTAAGAGCCTCATGAAGATATTTCTGAACGTAATGCTTCCATAACTTGTGATGACACTGACCAAAATAAATTCCAAATTCAAGAGAAAACATTTTAAAGACATGTTTCGGCGAGTGTTTGCCTAAGTTATTGTAATGTTACTAATTTCAAATATCGTGATTCGATTAATCTGATAACGTAATTTTTATGAAACGTGTAAAAGCAAAGTCAACGGATACGACACAATGAACTGATGATGGCATGAGTCATGCTGAAACACGTTTTCTCGTGAATTTGAATTGTTTTTGATGAAATGTCTTTGCTGTTCCTAGGCAAGAGATGCTTGAAAAACTAGCTGACAAGTTCGAAAGAAAGGTAAAGAGTTCAGCTACTATGAGATTTTTTTCGTGTGTGAGTGTTTCATTAATGACGGCTTCTGTATGTTTGAATTTTCAGGCTTCCCTTCGCGAGTCTTGGTTGGATGATATGATGCATGTTCTGGAAGGAGAGGCATTGGGTCAAGACGCGGCGACCGTAGAGGCGGCTTTTAAACGACATGAAGCCATAAGTACCGACGTCAAGGCCAGGGTGAGTGATAAGAACCTGTAAGTTGCCAGTTTCTTGTGTGTGTGTCTTCTGGCGAGAAACCCGACGCAGCACACGCAAACGACACGCACACTCCGTGGTATTAAACGCAAATGCATTACAAAAATGCGCACAGTTCAGTGCACGCAATCAATCAACACGCATTAAATGCATATGTTAGGACAAAAGTGCTTGCAGTATGACAAAAAATATTGATTGCGATTAAACACTTACCTTTGTGATTTGCAGGAAGAACGTTTTCAAATGGTCTTTGACCTGGCCCAGGAACTAATTGATGAAGATTACCACAGATCTGATGTTATCAGTGCAAGGTATGGTGATCTGCCAAAACCACCTCTACAAAGAGTATCAAACTTAATCGCTAGACCCAAACTCGACGTAAAAAATGGAACTGATAATGTTGATAATGATAATTGTAATAATAATAATATTAATAATAATAATAATAATAATAATAATAATGATAGTGATAATATCTTTATTTCAAGTGCTAGAATCCATTTACAATGGAATCTAGAATTCGGTATTTTTACATATGTCGATAACAATAAAATTTTAAATATAAATACATTACTATTATGTTTGCTAAGGAAAAAAAACAAAACATATTTAAAAATCTATCGACTTTGAGGGCGAAGTGGGAAGGAATTGGATCCCCAGAACCCTTCCTATGAATCCACCATCGTGGAAAGGTCACGCCCCCGTCTTAAGCCTTCTTTCCTATTTCACTCCGCGCTGTTATCATGCCCTGCCAGGAACTTTAGAAACAGGCTTTCTAGGCGGAAGGAGAAGCTTTTATAGCGCATTTCATTACGTTAGCTCTTTTAACAGAACAGACGCAGTGATCTTTGAACTAAAGAGCTCTGTCAAGGTATCTGACCCAATCTGATTTTGTGTTACAGAGAAGAGGTTATTATGACCAAATGGGACAAGCTGATCGGTATGTTAGAGGCGAAGCGTTCAACTCTGGTGGGTTTTAAGGATCTTGTCGGTTTGTTCAGAGAAATGGATGGTGCACACGGTGACATGCAGGATATTGAGGTACTAGCTGGATAACGAATACGATCTATGTTACATTACGTTCTCCGTAACCTTCAAGCAGGCCCTCGTTATTAGTGCTGCGCGTGTTTCGCCGCCCGCGGAAAGGTTGGAGATGAGTCGGGGGGTGGTTTTCCAGCGTTCTCTTAGCAGATCTCTCGCTGTACGTATAAGGACTCACACTTTTCTCGCGGGGTAAGAAATGCTCGTGTCCGGCGCAGCACTAATATAGAGAATCCGCGCTTTAGACGGTTTCCTTTTTGTGCTTTAGTTTGCCATCGAACTCTTTGATATCCTCTTTTGTGCTTTTTAGCCTTTGTGACTACGCTTACGACAGCAGATCGAAATCCCCTCTTTTAACCTACGTTCTAAGTGCCATTGTGTTTTGCAGTCGGCTGTGAGATCTGAGGACTATGGCAAGCATCTGTTAGATGTGGAAAATCTTCTACACAAGCACAGTTTAATTGAATCGCAAATTCAGTCTCAAGGGGAAAGTGTCCAGAGAATCAACAACGTGGCGCAGAAATTTATCAAAGCAAAGCATCCGGAAAGTCGGGTCATCAAAGAAAGACAGTCACTTCTTGCTCAAGCATTTGAGGTATATAACTGAATCTTACACAGGGGTTTCAATGGCAGCCGGGTAGCAGATAAATCCGTCTACCTGCTGGTGATGCGCTGGCTATCTGCTTGTAGCCTTCGCACAAATGTCATTGGGCTCCTAACATACAACTCTCCTCCACTTTGTCCAAATTGTTTGACTGTTAGAAACAACAAAGAAACAGAAATTGGAATTGCCCTAAAAATGCGGAAAATGCGATTGCAAGAGTCACAATTTATCAGCGGAGCCTAGGCCTCCACTTCACTCGCAAGATCTCTTTAGTAATTCTCCCTACTGTCTGCAGTACAATTATGATGTTGGCCTGCAAAATTTGGTGTTGGATCAACTTTTACCCCCTAAGTGATATTATTCTTTATTCTCATTAGTTGTCTGCTTGATTTTGTATTGATATTGTTAGGAAAAACTCTGTCTTGGTCACTCATGAGAGAATAAGAGTTAATGAAACTTATTTTACGTTAACATGGTTATCAATAAGTTTGAAAGTGGTATGAAAATAAGAAATAGTCGGCGGCCAATTACTTGATTTCACGGTTAAATCGTTTTCGTCCACAGGCGTTAATTCAGCTGGGAAAGGAGCGTCGCGCAAGGCTTGAAGATTCCCTGAGACTCTACAAATTCTTTGGAGACATGGAGGAAGAGGAGATGTTCGTCAAAGAAACGGAAAAAGTTCTCTCATCAAAAGATGTTGGAAACGATCTGATAAGCTTGACAAGACTCCAACAGAAACACAAGGTTAGCTGCGACAGAGAATTGGTTGAACGTATCTGTTTGTTGTGGGATGTTGCTAAAACCAAGAACGACCGAATTCGACAAGCGCTTTGATCAGTACAGAGAAGCGACTTTTCAGCGTGAAAAATGTCTCGCTATGTTATAGAAGAATCCCGAATTGGATGGACGCACGCTAGACATTGTCCACTCCTTAATTTTTATGCGAATTACAACAAAATCAAGCATGTGCTGAAAGATATTTGGTGCGTGGACTTTCCGTTAAAATTTCAGTTTTATCTTCGACGCCCAAAGTGTTTATTTCCTTTTATAATGAGAAAATCCGTTCTTGTCTGACTGGAAATTCCTTTCTGCAGCTTTGGGAGAGATAGTTTCCGCTTTGTTTCTGTGTTAATTATTGTTTTAACTCAATAGGCTCTGGAAGCAGAGTTAAGTGGCCGTTTTGCGCATTGTGAAACAGTCTGCGCCAAAGGGCAGTCGCTCGTTGACAGAAGTCACTACGCTTCTAAAGAGATCAGAGCAAAGATTAAACAGCTGCAGAACAACTGGATGAAACTAAGAGAACTTTTAATCACAAGATCAGAGAGATTAAAAGATGCTGCACAATCGTTACAGGTACGAGGTGCTTTTTTGAGGCAGAGTTGCGGGCTGTCTGAGTGATTGGCTCGCTTTCTGCTTCTGACCAACAGACGGTTTAAGCAGGTGACCAAGCCTTGGACTGGCTGATTAACCGAAGGAATGACTGACCTAATGAATTGATGAGTGAATCAATTAATGACTGACTGACTGACGGACGGAATGGATGACTGACTGGCTGACCGACGAACTAAATAAATGCCTGATTGACTGACGGAATGAGTGAATGAATGAATGAATGAATGAATGAATAGGTAAGTGAGCGAGAGAGTGATAGGAAGGGTGGATGGGAACATGGTTCGGTGGGTGAGTGAATGACTGAGTGAATGATTATTCATAGAAATAAACGATGAAAATGTTCTCTCTGTACTGTATTTAGTATTACTCAGATTCTAATGACGCGGAATCTTGGATGAAAGAGAAAATGTACGTCGCGAGTAGTGAAGATTATGGCAGGGACGAACAGAGTGCAATGGTGGGTACAGAAATTCCAAGAATCAATTTCCAGCACGGCTGTGTACAAAACCCATCGGTCGTTTATTTATTTCGAGAATTATTTGTTGATCCAGTACCAAATTCTTTAAATTAGCATCATAAGAGTTGTAAGACAGACTGTAAGGAGAATATACTTGTAAGATCTTGGAAGTGAAAGAGTTAAGCTTATGATATTTATTTGGTATTTATGAATATCAGGCTTATCGGCTCGGTAGTAAAAGAACTCTTTTACAGTTTTGATCATGGTGACGAGGTTGGAAGAGAGCTTATCAGAAAGCGGGTATTACAGAGAGGCTTTGTAGGAAACCGGCTTACCGTAGAGGTTTCGATATTTACACGTGCTTTGAGTTCTGATTGGTTACCTATGTTAAGTACTATTAATCTGATTGGCTGTTGTAAGTGTTAGGTTTTGGTCTTATAACCCCTCATCATTGCAATTGTACCCTTCACACCACTTTGTGATATGATCCCTCTGCAATTCTGACATTCCGTCGAACATTAGCTGACATTTTCTTCTGGTTGTTTTGTAGTCCTTGCTGCAGCGACACACGAACGTGATAGACGAGATTAAAGGTTTTGCTGATGACATGAATCGCTTGAGGGAACAAAGTAAACTGATGGAGAGCAACGAACAGGCGGTTCAGGTGAGAAGAGGACTATTTGATAGTCCTTTTCTTCATCGCTTTGCATGACTCATTGCCATTTCTTCTTGTTACATTTTTACATTTTCTGGGATCAATGTCAGTACCTCAGCAACTGCGCACTTACTCCTCCCTAACCCAACAACAATCAACTGAGAACAACTTAGGGTAAATGTCGGTGCGTAGTTGTTCAGATACTTACGTTAATCCTTTTCTGATTATTGATGATCTTAGCAGTATAAAGGACTCGTGTCATATGTGAACCTTGTACTAAAAGGCCTGGCTCACTATTGAGTCTCTGTGGCCCAGTGAGGTAGAATCAGAGCGTGGAATTCACCTCGCATTAATTCCTTACTGGGTTCTCAGAATTTTTCTTCGCCTCACGCTCGTGACAAAACGAAAAACATCGTCCTTCATTTCATCACCGTGTGATTTACCATCTTTTTATTTTATTAACTCTCATGGAGCTTTCGACATTGCAAATCCTAGCAGTATTCGGGGTGCGTGTACCACACGAATGCAGCAAAGGCCAGGTGCACCATAGTCTCTGAGGCTCAATGGTAGAGCATCGGGACGTGGAATTCGAAGGCCTGAGGTTCGATTCCTCTTGGAGATTTAGGATATTTCTTTGTCCCACAGCTCGTGACGAGACGGGAAAACAATTTTTTTTATTTTATTTTTTTCTTTCGCTCTAGACAAAGGTGGAACTGTATGAAGAGGAAGCTGAGGTGGAGACAGACGAAGAAGTCGAGGAAACCGTAGAAAGAGAAGTTATGAAAGACGTTGTACAGGAAATTAAAGTCCCACAAGTAAAAGCTCTGCACCCGTTTGCCGGACAAGGGCTTAAAATTACCAAGGGAGAGGTGAGAAGGGGTGAAAATGAAGTGTGGGAGGGGGGAGTTGCGAAAGTTTTGGTTCCAGGCGATTACATAAAATGTTAGCCATTAAATTTGCAGCAAAATTTGCCAGTTTTGCGACCCTTATTCGCCGGTCATAAAGCTCAGTGTTTTTTTGCGCTTGTTAGCATTTATAGTTTTGAGACTATAACGTGATATTTACATTTTTGTTTTTATATTTAGGTATTCTTTTTGATTTCAAAGACGAACAAAGATTGGTGGAGTGTGAGGTACAACAAATTTCCTAACAGTTTATTTCAGCAATCTTTTATTCTTCGTTTTTGAGTCGAACCAAATGCTCATGGTCTTTCAAATGTAGCCCGATCACGCTAGTAGATCTCGTTTGCAAAAATTTACTTGTGGGACTTTTATTTCCTGTACAACGTCTTTCATAACTTCTCTTGGTTAGGCGACATTTCCTTCAGGACAGTTCAAAAGGTAGGGAGAAACCGAAAGTAAAACGAGCCCGGTGGACTGGTACCCTTTAACTCTCATGAGTGACCAAGACAGAATTTCTCCTTATACTATAAATACAAGCAGACAAGTGATGAGAATGAAGAAAAATATCAACGAGAGGATTACATGTGTATTTGTTGACCCGATACTTATTTCATGAGAACTTGAGGGGCAGACTAATGAATCTTGGGAGTAAAAGGGTTGAAAGAGCCCTGTAATATGATTAGATTTGAGGATAGCACGACTACAAGTGTCCTTAACCTTTGATTGTTTTTTTCTTCTCTTCAGGCGTTTGACCTCCAAAGAAGCAGGTTACGTCCCTGCTAACTACGTTAAAGAGATTGAGGCCAGGACAGTAAAGAAAACGACAAAACAGAAGGTCATCGTTCCCGAGAAGGTTTTGGTAAAACGAAAAGTGAAGAAGAAAGTCAAGATTCAGAAGCAAAGGGAAGTGAAAGTCAAAACTCCTGAAAAGAAAGGTTGGTAATAGCTTTGGAACCTTCCTCTTGAAAGTATTGTTTCGTAGCGTTCATTTGAGTTTTTACAACTAGGAAAATAAGTTGGAGCCAACTTGTACGACATCTACAATTATACCTTATGGATAACTACGCAATGGCTAATAGGGTTACATCCAGATACTGTAATAGCTTGCGAGTAAGCCCTCATCATTTGCGCACGGGCATGATAGTGGCTTTGGGCAACGCGAGCCAGCAAGGGGTCTGCAATGTGTCTATTAGTGCCAGACCCCCAGCAAATCTCTCCCCGACTCGTCTCAAATCTTCCCGCGAGCAGAGAAACGCGCATCTTTCAGCACTAGTAATGAGGCTCTGCTCGAAAGCCAATTCTGTAAAGGTAGAATCACCTTTCAATTGAATCATCACTATAATTGGGCTTTACAACTGCGTTAATGAGTACAATCACTTCACTAGTGTGAAGGGAAGACCTTCCTGAATTTTGATCAAAATGCTGTCAATGATTCTTATAGGAAAATCTCGCCGACCAGTTAGACGTCATTTCACGGCCCATTTTGATCGCGACAACGTTGCTACGCGTCAGATCTCACTGCAGAACATGTACTCTAGACTGGTGGAAATGGCCGAGGTATTGTGTGCGTTCCATAGAGTACTTTTCGACTGAGTGTCGCAGAAAACCAAAGCTATTACAACGGCCAATCAAAAGAAAGGGAAATACGTTTAAAAGCCAATGAGAGCTTTAAAAAAAAAAAAATATATATATATATATATATACAAACTGCCTAAAGCGCGGCAAAACGCGGACGACCAAGTCGCGAGTGGTTTTAGTTTTGTATCTGATTGGTGAGAGAATGGCGCGAGTTTTCTGGACCAATCACAGAGCAAAGTGAAGGGAAAGCAAACCAATCACAGAGCAAAGTAAAGGAAAAGCAAATCAATCGCGGAATACTTTCGACACTCAGTGGAGATTTCTCTATTCTTGTTGTTTAGTTATTCTCCAGTGTTTTTGAGATTTTATTTCTTCTGAAAACATTTTGTCTAACCTTGATTGAATTCACTTTATAGATTCGCCGTGAGAATCTGGAGAACTCCATCAAATATTTTCACTTCAGTCATGAATGTGATGATATCGAGTTTTGGATGAAAAACAAGGTTTGATTCCTTATTGATATCCCATTTCCTACTGGATCAATATTAGTATCTGAGAAACTCTGAACCAACCCCTCCCTTGACTCGACAACAGTGAACTGATAACAATAAAAGGTTAATTTTGAGTTGGGTGAGGGGTAGATGCGTAGTTGTTCACATACTGACATTGATTCTTCCTACCTTTATCTGTTAAATTATTTTAATGACGTGTCCACGATGGAACACGTTCATGAAAATGGATTGACCGCGCGAAAATATAGTGGCCTGGGATTATATTACAACTTCCTCAAGTGCCTCGCGCTACTAAACGCCTCGCCCTGGATCCTTAATTAATAACTTAGTCAAATAATGGAATATGTTTATTGTAGGTCGAATAGTCCGTCATGCTCTTAAGTTAGGCACTGTATTTTGACAGCGCCTCTCTTCATTCTGGAGTAAATAGAAGTATTGGTTGATAAAACTGTTAAAGGAAAACTTCTGGGAGGAGGGGTGGGGGGGATGGTTACTTGTAAAAGCTCAGCAACCCGACTCGGAAGAACAACACTACTTGCTCGCTTCATGTTCAGGAAACCGAAGTGAACTCTACAGGTAGTTGTAAGAGTCAGTCTCTTATTGCAGCCTAACAGTGATACCTAATATTAACGACAGTGATCGTGATGATGCATTTATAAAGCGCATTCTGCGTATTAATTTGCTCTAATGCGCTTTGTAACACTTTTTGGGGGACTTTGGCCTGACTGTATTGAGTAATTTACACTCTGTAGAAAGATTATTCCGCAGGTGTCCCCAATTTAGGAATTTTTGGAAACGAGGCCAAAACACCGGTAGGTACATTCCCTACTCTTTGCGAGAAGTGCGTGGGTTCTTTAACGCCCCCTGCTAATCAGTAGAGAGAAGATGTACGAGACGATGCCTGCGGTTTGTCGTCCTCATCTAAGAAGATTTGAATGTCTACTCATTTGCATTTGTCATGGCAAAGGTAGCACATTCTCCTCAGTTATTTTAAGACCCTAAGGGTTAATCCAGACTGGGGCTCGAACCCACGACCTCACGCACATCAGTCCGGTGTCCTACAACCTTAATTTTTAGCTTTTGATCGTTCTAACATTTGTAATTTAACGTTTTGCTTCGACTAATCAGGAAAGTCAGCTTACTTACAACAGTGCGTCTGAATCAGACAACGACATTCATGTCATCCGCAAAAATATTGAGGTAGAGTCTTCAGCTAATCTGTCATGTTTGTAACTTTTGATTCCTTTTTTTCTGCTCTCTTCATCTTTGTGCATTTTTGTGTTGCTAATTACGTTTTAGAGCAATTTTCAATCGAGTATCGAAAGAAATTCGAGATTGCTATGTTTTGCTGCACTTCGGTCTGATTGGTCCAGAAAAACGGGCGCCGATCTCTCAACCAATCAGATGCAAGACTAAAACCAATCACGACTTGGTCGCCCGCGTTTTCCCGCGCTTTAGGCTTTGATTTTGGTTTTACGAAACTCAATCGAAATGAGCTCTATCTGTATGTAACAATGCTTACGTTCTAAACTTCTGTAATATTTTTGTGTTGTCTTGTGTTACTGTGTTGCACATAGGTTCTAAGCTTTAACCCAGCATACTCTAATTTGGTTGGAACGAACTCTTACTGAACCTACAGTCACAAAGGTAAAGATGGTTCTCCACAGTCAAACGAAAAGTGGCCTTTCGCGTTATTTTAGCTCGTCATGTAATCCTACCATGGAACAGCAGAGAACGATTTCAAGTACGCCTCTATTCTTAATTCTGTACCAGAAACGGGAAAGTCAGCCAATTAATAGACGTAAAAAGTTGAAAAGTTTCTCTAAACTAATATGATCTAATAGTAGATGAGAGGAGGGAATGCTTTGCGGTGCGAAAGTTGGAACGTGTTTCGTTCTGTATAGAACTTAAGTTTTTGAATGGAAAATGTACTTTCGTTCAACGAGAACGCAATGCCAGTGGCAGGCGCTACACGTTAGTTTTCTCTATGATCTATGATTCGGCTTCAGTTTTTACTGAACGGAGAATCCAGGACATTGTGACCATGAACAATTTTACTGGACCTTTTTTCTCTTTTTTTATTTCAGGCTGTTTCTGTTCCACAACTGTACACGATGTTTGTTTTGTGTCAGATCTGTGCTATTCTTCCTCAAATGTTATCACAGTTCTTGTCCATTTGTGTGAGGCACTATCGCACAAAGTACTGTTTCAAACATCCTCAGAATTAACTCCTTCACTCCTTGGAGTAACCAATTTGTAATTTATCCCTACTATCTCGATACGTTGTCAAGCAGAAAGATGATGTAAAGAATTAAGAAAAAGTTATCAATTAGTGCATATTGTTTGAATTGACATCAAGAATTATGATCAAAA